AAGCATTTGGGAGTGAGTTCGATGATGAAGACTTCAGATCACAAGACGACATCAGAGCAGTACAAATCATAGAAAGCACCTCGTGAAGGCTGGACAATAGACACGAGATAAGACTTTCATCAAAGAGTGACGGCGTCACCTTGTCGAACAACAAGTCAGTGGCAATCAGCCGACTTCGATCCCTGGAAAAGAGCCTGCTGCGCCAACCACAGAAAGCAGCAGCATACAGAGAAGTGCAGTCCGTGGCGAACGGACGACCCCTCACATGCGTCAGCTCTGACGCCACTGATACTCAGTCGCTGACGCTGAGTCACCTCCTGCTCGGATGTGCCGGCGTCAACAAGTCGCCAGGAGTTTTCCAGCCCAAGGAGATCAACAGCAGACGCCGCTGGCGTCAAGCCCAAGTCCTGGCAAACCACTTCTGAAAGAGGTGGAGACGAGAATATGTGCCTACATTGATGCATCGTCAGAAGTCGCTCCATGACATCAGAAGCCTTCGAAAGGGGACGTTCTATTGATGATGGAAGCAGATGCCCCGCGAGGATTTTGGCCATTGGCTCGAGTCGTGAGAGTTTTTCCGGGCACGGACGGCGTCGCTCGTTCTGTGGAGTTGAGGTCGGCGGGAGGAGGCACTTCCCTGCGCCCTGTCGCCAAAGTATGCCTCTTAGAGGAGGCTGAGGAGAGGCATACTGTATATATCATTGGACGAGTTGAAGTGCTACTTAGATGTGCTTGCATTGATTGTGGCTTTCCCTCCAACCATTCATGGCTGGTTGTCATTTGCTTCCTTTCTTTGTTAAACTCTCCCATCTGAAGGCGAAGACGAAGGATTTCAACATTCGTGGCTGATGAGCATGTTGCAACGGACCAAAACCTCGTCCGTGACGTCCGGTCCGACCCTCGGCACGTCGTGGTCAGCTTCGTGCCCCCCTCGGACGGACGGATGAGCCCAAGTTTTCTGGTGACCTCGGATCATGACGCTGACCTTCCAACAAACGATGTCGATCTGGGGGGTGCCTCAGCACCGGTGTGTTGTTGTGTTGTTGCGGAATGACCCAGTAGAAAGGTTTATATTCTATCGTCTCATGAATTCTTGGGTAGGTGATTCAGCCAACCTTCTCCAAAATCTCGAAATATGCCTCCGGTGGTCACCAGCCAGTCAGCGCCGGGTGCGTAAAAAGCTTCCAGACACGCTGGAGGTTTTGGAAGCGTGATGGTGGCCGCACCCAGCTTGATCAATGGATGGTTCATGAGTCCAACAGCCCTATGCAGCACAGTTGCCTACACTGCTCAGTTGGGTTCACATGTTTGCTCCGGTTGTCAAAATCTGGCATCCATTTAAATAAGTTAAAAGCCCCATCAATGGCGTGATGTCGAGTGCGCTTGGCTGGCTGCACACCATCCCGCACCTAGCCGGCATCATTGGCCGTTGTCTTCTCTTCGAGCCGTGCTGCTTTCAGGTCGGTGCGATGCAGGGCTTTCGAGATCAGGCACAGGTTTAGATCAGTGCTATACGACTTGTTAGTAGGGAACAGGTTCCCGTGTATCGTGCTGATAATTTCGTTATTTGGCTATAAAGCGATTTTACTTAAGATGTCCGCAAGGTGGATTTGGTTAACATTGCAATACTCCAGAAAAGTCACGCTTTGAAAAGCCCGTATGCAAACGCATTGCAGTCTAATGTTCAAAAGGAGCGTATCACGTTATTGGGATTTTGAGATAAAATGGCCATCTTGAAAACCATCTTGAAAACCATCCACAACCCAGCCTTTCTTAAGACCTAAGCCCTCTAGTTTCTGAGCTACACGCCCAAGAAAATGAGAAGTGTATTCCGGAAGGAGCATTTCAAGTCAACTTGGCATTCATGACATCATAATTGCGTCATTCAAATCCTGCCGTTCCATAAGGCATGTGGCGATCAAGGCCAAGAAAAATAAAATTGCCGAGGCGTTCATATCTGACGTTTGTGAGCACGATTTCTGGTCATAACGGCCGTCAAATGGCTCTCAATCAATGTTGCGCAAGGTACGATGAAAACAAATAATTGTGCTGCCTAGAGCAGTCTTTTCTACTTGCAAAGTATACCAATAGTTATAAGTGACCTTGTTTCATCATATCTGATGCTTGCCTCAATATATGCAACTGTGACACATTCCCTTTAAGCATTGAGTGGCTTGTTATAGAAAGTTATGATTATGTGGCTGCAACAGGCGAACTCTTGAAACAGGTGACGGCTCAACCGGGATGATCAAGTTGGAGGCTTTCTCGCGGTTGGATCCATAAGACCGGATCCAGAGCATGCAAACTATCTAGGTACAGCCATACCTTGGAAAATTTATTCATATCACGATCAAAGTGTATCAAGGAGACATAAGAGCTCTCTCCGCCAATATCTGATCATTTGGATGGAGATACTAACCTTACGTTTACAATTCATGCGTTCAAGCCAGCACGCAAGGCGACGACCGGCCCGTCGTAATAATTCAATGCATGGCATGGAGGCGGATTATTTAGGATAAGCATGCGGAAGAAACGCAGGCAAAGAAGGCAGGACTGGGCTCGCGGGTAGTGAGAGGCTGCTGGTTGAGGAGCCGGCAGCCACAGGGCACAGGGCATCAAGCGCGGCTGAACGGCTGGGTTAATGACAGCGATGCGGGGTGGGACGAGTGATGCGAGTAACAAACACAATACAGCACGCTGCTGGCCTGAAAAAGGGGCTACTGGTCTGGCCGGGCCGTTCAAGCAGCACAATCTTGGTCACGACGTTCAGAAGGTGATTTGCTCGCCATTAGCCAGCGTGATCAATATTTTTTAGTTATGGCTGCTGATATTAACGACGCGAAAAACAAAAGACAGGTGTCATTAGAATCAAGACTATGTGCGCTGCATTTGCTTGCACGGCTGGTACCTAACACAGATTAATGACTGCAGATTAAGTAGGGCATCAACGGCAAGGTCGCATGCGAACCAAGGGTGAACGCAATGTTACACTACATGTTGCAGCGCGGGAAAGATGCAGCTCAGTGCCAGGCTGGGAAATAAACCCATGGACTGTTCTACAACCACTTTGCACTTTCGGCGTCAATCTGCACGGCTCAAACACTTCAAACAAATACTGCCTTCAGGGCAATGAACTTGGACTTCAACCAATCGGGATGGCGTGAGCCGCTTACGTCACAGTTTGGAAGGACCAGGTTCGTTCGCGTTGTACCCCTGCACGTAATAATCTGTGATGCGTGTTTGAAGAACGTGAGCGATATGTGCAGCAAACGCAACGCTAGGACAACCAGCCCGCGCTTGATTTCAGATTTCGGAGGAGGTACTGAAGAGTGGGATCCTTGATTCAATGCATACAATTTTGTCGTAGGATAGTAGTAGGATGGTAGGATAGGACCGTACCGTAGGATCGGTTCCTTTCACTAACTTTCAGCAATTCGAAACCAGAAATGTCCAAAAACCTTTGCTATGATCATCGATGTGCGAAATGAGAACAGAATTAACGCTGCCATAGATACAGCATTAATGCCTCTCTCTGCCATAGATGCCTCTTTCGACGCCAACACATAACGCGAATTTATATGCTTGTCTGTCATGCCAAACAGAAACAAGACAGCGTTATTAATGAAGCAGCAGATAAATCTCATTGAAGTGCTCATTGATGCAAAGGATGCTGCAACGTACGCTATGTTTTTCAGTGTGCGCCTTTGGAAACTACAGTTGTACTCGTCTTGATACATTATATTTGTGTTTTTGGCCTAAAATAATGGTTTGAGGGCGATTGCTGGACTTTTCGGAATGATAACTAAATTTGAACTTAATATGCATTTTTGGACTGCGACCCATTTTACATATCTCACTTGGCAAAGTTTATTCGCTGGGGATGATATTTTCAACTAGCTTTCAGGCCATTTCACCAAGCCGTAGCTTCGTTTGCTCACTGTCAGTGTGAGAACTCTCAACTTATGATGGCTTGGATTTGAGGCCTTAGAGGTCTTCCGTTGCTTCCTTCCACTTTCTACGCTTCCTTCGACTTCCTTTGCTTTCTTCTATTTCCTTTACCCAGTCGATCCACCGGCCATGACGCGGTTCCCATATCCACCCGTGATCATTCCAATTCAGTGAAATTTGCCCATGACCCACCCATTTACATTTTCCGAGGTCTTAAGCTCTGAATTAAAAAATGCTGTCAGAAATTGTTACATCCAAACCCATCCTCTCGCACTAATGATTGCAAACATGGTGTGACACACAGGCCACAGTCAAAGGCGGAGGTGGGCAGGTGGAAGGCGCGGGAGGCGTCGCCCCTAGGCCTGCATTTGTCTTTTTTCGCCATAAATAGCCCCAGTGGGAAAATAGGAGTTAAATAATCACAAAATAGCGGTTAAATAGCAGCTAGCCGAAAATAACAGTTCAAAATCAGCGTGATGCGTTCTCATCCAGTTCCGCCTCCCCACAATAAAAATTCTTGCCTCGCCCCTGAGAGTCTGCTCTAATCGTAACTAAAAGAAGCGTAACCAGTAATATTGTGCAGTATTTCCTGAAGTATCTATCTGATATTTTGTAAACGTTTTACCAGTACCATACCCGTGCCCGCAATGTACCCAAAATCTATCCATGTGTCGTATAGCGATCTACCGATGTACCCGCTACCGCCCACATGGGTACCATGGCTTTGCCCATCCCGTGAAGTCCTCTAGTTCTGAGGGTCACGTAAGTGTGTACGATATTTGCAATGGTTATGTGAATTCGATTCGACACTAAGCCACACGCAAACCTACATTTACCACATTCCCCAGCGTGACAAACGTGGTAAGCAACCCCAACTGGCGAGTATTCCAGAGGTACGAGCGGAGTCTTTTCCAGATGCTTAAAAATACACTGATCAAGAGTTGCACGAACACGTTTAGAATAGAAGTCAGTCGACGGGTGGATTCGGAGTTAGACTTGGTTCTTCCGTGGAAATGACAAGCTAAAGCCGGCAGACTGCATATATTGGACATAAGTATTTAGCAGACGTATGTGCGTTCATGTATTGACGCAAACCTGCGAAGAAAACATCTTCACATGAGAGCACATTGCAATACACATACTTGTCTGTCTAATTAGAATCCGAGGAGATCCACATTGCCGAGGAAACTGTCGGCCACATGAAAGCCATACTCGGATGCTGGAGACCTCTGTACACGGATCTCTGTTCTGTTCTGATCTCCGACCGGAGCAGCAGGCTGCTGCACCACGACGCCGCGGAGGACATGTGCCGTCGTTACAGCTCCCCCCGGCGGCCGTGAGAGCCTGAGGAAGATGGCATGCGTTTAGAACATGTGATCTCAACCGCAGGCTGTTCTAAAGAGCTAATGAAACAAAGCAAACGCAGAACTATACACATCAGTTGGCTGGCCTGTGCCTCAGTCATATTGTCATTCTCGTATGGTGGTGTACTTCACGTTCTTCATGCGCGTCATCCTACATTTGCTGTTCCTTCCTTGCACCCAGCATGTGCATGCATAGGTGGTTTGGGTTGTCATGTCTGACTATTGTACCGCAAAGATTGCTCAATCATATTTTCGCATCACTGTCGACACTGGCACCTGCCATGACTGCAGCGACCGGCAGGTTCTGAAGCATTCACCACCGACACCAACGCCTGCCAGGCTCTGCAGCACTCACCACCGACACCAACGTCTGTCAGGCTCCGCAGCACTCACCACCAACACCAACTCCTGCCAGGCTCTGCAGCACTCACCACCGACACCAACGCCTGCCAGGCTCTGCAGCACTCACCACCGACACCAACGCCTGCCAGGTTCTGCAACACTCACCACCAACACCAACGCCCGCCAGGTTCTGCAACACTCACCACCAACACCAACGCCTGCCAGGTTCTGCACCACTCATCACCAACACCAACTCCTGCCAGGCTCTGCAGCACTCACCACCGACACCAACGCCTGCCAGGCTCTGCAGCACTCACCACCGACACCAACGCCTGCCAGGTTCTGCACCACTCATCACCAACACCAACGCCTGCCAGGTTCTGCAGCACTCACCACCAACACCAACGCCTGCCAGGTTCTGCAGCACTCACCACCGACACCAACGCCTGCCATGACTTCCGCGGCCGGGAGGTTCTGCAGCACTCACCACCAACACCAACGCCTACCAGGTTCTGCAGCACTCACCACCAACACCAACGCTGCCAGGCTCTGCAGCACTCACCACCGACACCAACGCCTGCCATGACTTCCGCGGCCGGGAGGTTCTGCAGCACTCACCATCGGAAGCACCCTGAAAGCCAGCGAGCGTCTCGGCAGCGTCGCCCCCTGGAGCCAGAGTCGCTGCCGGAGAACCAAAGTCGATAGGTGGCAGCACCGGATGCCACTGCTCTGGCTTCAGAAGCACTGAAAGCCGGAGAACAGACGGGACTTGAAACACAGGACATCACATGACAATGTGCCATCAGCTCCGATGTCTACTTGGACGTCACTGTTTTCTGACAGGGTGATTGACGTTTAAGTGGTACCCACCAACACCTGATGAGCTCGCGGATTCATAGAAGTGTCAAAACCAAGGAAACAAAAGAGCATGATTAAGTCATTTTTAATATCAGAGTTGACCTTTCATGCGTATGGCTTTTGCGTGGGCTCTTGCAACATCTGTGCAGGAGGACATTTGTCGTGGTAGCCTGTGACGTGAAGGGGAGTTCTTGCCGTAAATTGATGTCTGAAACTACTCACCACCAGCGGCCGTTTCGTACCGCAAAGTTACGCCCTCTCCTCTCCCGGTGCAGCGCTCTCGCTGACCCGAGCGAGGCTCAGTCCTGACCTTTCCCGGTGATGAGGCCGGCGCGGACGGCGGTCACCCACTGCTGCAGCTCGTCCAGCTGTGGCCGCCCCGAAAACTGCACCACCTCACCCGAGGTCATGTTGACGGCCACCAGGGCGACCGCGGCGGTGACCTCGTACTGCTGCCGCGCCAGCCGGGCCACCGGGTCGGAGCTGCAGCCAAAAAGACAGCCGCTAAACTGATTGTAGAGACTTGTCGCCGTGTGGGATAGGATGAAGGATGCAGCAGGCGAAATGGCTCGCGTGCAGCTTCGGAGGTGTGCTTTTCCGTTTGTATGGTCTTCCCTGGTCATCACTGACTTCTTCAATCGTTTCCAGAAGAAGGTATTAAGTACGCCTGTTCGCGCTACGTTGATGATGCTGCGCAGCCGAGCACAGAGCGAGCCATCTGACAAGACGTCACCGCGACCTATGCAGAGCGCAGCGGGACGTGAAAAAGGCTGTTAGATTCGAAGCAGTACCCGATAGCACCACCTTAAGGCATTGTGATTCATCCAATATTGGGCGGGAAAGCGAAGGCATTTCACCAGCATGGGCACTTTGACAGATGCGGCGACTCAGACGGTGTAGAACATATACATCACATTGATGGCGCCATACAACAGGGCGTGGAACACATTACACAACGCACGGACAGCTGGAATGCCCACCAAACCAGCCCGCCAGAGATGCGCAGCTCGTGACTTGAGTCATGAGCACCTGTTCAATCCTCCCACCTGTTCATCCAGTAGAAGTCGGTTTCTGAGAGCGCCACTTGCCCGTCCGCTTGCACCAGCGCTTCCGTGACGTCCGGTCGCGGACAGGCCGGGGGCGTAACAGAACAGAACGAAATGTCCACTGCGGTCGGTCGGAGACGATCGAAGTTTTTCCTCCGTCAGTTGGGGACTGAAAGCGCGGCGCGCCTGAACGACGCAGCCAGAAGAGGCTCTGCGGATGTACTAGAAAAGCTGAACTGCCCAAGCGAGTCCCTGCACGATGGACTCTCCGTGAAAGTTCTGCGCTGATCACACTAACGTCGGCGCGATCACACTAACGTCGGCCGCTGATCACACTAACGTCGGCGCTGATCTGATAGCGCGCGGTGCTGCCGCTGGCAAATCACTGACAGGAACGGCTGCAGGGGGACATGTCTCTTACAATGTATGACCATGTTTTGCTTACGACATATGAAATGGTGGCGTCGATGCTGTGAGACTTTAGAAACTTCTCCTTCACTACTGATGTCATTAATGACATCGAGATCACCCCACGAGACCAGAACTTACGCATTTAAAACCGGTCTCCGTACACAGCTTATCAACTCCTCTCTTGGAAATAAAACCAGGCAGCGTAATACTAGACATACTATTTAAGTAGCTATTACAACTCGCAAATTTTGAAACAGCTAGTTAAGGAACTTGCAGCCCTTGCAATCATAACTTATACGTATGTCACCCAAAATTGTACGTGAGGGGAATCGTATGTATCGGTGCCCTTTGCAGGAGGATGAGAGTGACGTCCTTTTCATTTTCCAAACACAGCGCGATATCTGTCTGACTCTGTCCGTCACCCTCCTTAATTTTTTTCGGGATTAGGTTCGGGCGTGTTGATCTTTTCGCACCATTCAGATCTGTGTAACTCTTCATTTGGCGAGAATTTTAAGCGCGCATACGCTGCATGTCACGTTCTGCAGGCGCAACATTTTGCCCTGCTTCTCTGCGTGCGCACTTGTTGACAAGAGCAGCGTTTCCTGCCAAACTTTAATGCCACCACAATTTAGCATTTCCCACTCAACTAGCATCCAAATACGCCTGGAATAATACACGAAACACACGGAACAGAAAACATTTTCAAATTGCAGAAAAGCTGAGGACCACCGACCGAAATTGGGTCCGATTCTCGACGACCGGTAACTCGGCTGCGCGACCCGTCGTAACTCACAAACGGCGCGGCTTTTAGGTGTGGCAACATTGGACCGGAGAGCGGCTGGTTTTACCTTCCTTGAAACCCATCTCGAATACAAGACACTATATCCTAAACTGGAATGGTTGTGCCGTGACCAGCGTCCACCCCAAATATTGCGTTTTTTTACGATGATTTGGATAACATTGACAAGCCATGAATGTCTCGCCACCGATTTGGTGCTAAGGAAATTGTCAGGTTGACCGGTCCATATCTTGTAAATTTTGAAGCAACGTTAGTTGTGAATGGATGCGCGAATGCTGTGAGTCGATTGATCTACTCCTGAAAAATAACACACTGATAAAAACCCATTGATGTCCCTACCAGGTGTATGGCCGCACTAGCTCAGTTTTGTGCATTATCCACATGATGACACCTGGCAAATGTCACGCCTGTGAACGCCTCGTTTATACTACGCCGAAAAACTCCGTACTAGTGCTCTTTCCAAAGGAGGACTTTGCGACCGAATGATTGATGGTGCTTGCGGATGTGATGCGAATGGGACATGAACCGCTCACCAGTACTGGTTCGCATCGGCTTATCGACTCCTCCAGCTTGATCAAGTCGACTTCGAATGCCGGTTGAAAAGGGTCGTTTCTCTTCAGACAGTGTGCAGCGTTCTTGCCAAACCTGGAAGCGAGACGAGACCAAACTTCAAAGCTCCGTTGATGTCGTAAGCCATCTCTGAACAGATTTGACGTCAAATGACGTTTTCAGCGAGCCACGTAGCCATAAAAACGGTCAAATACGCTGTTATGTGCAATGTGAGGCGTGGCGGTGTAAGAATGCCAAGATCACATGCGTCGCAATTCGGGATGGGCAGCGTTTGGTCTGACAGACGCAGTAGATTACTGTTGGCTCATTGATAGACTATGTTCAGCGAATCACTATAGACGCAGTGGAGGACGGAAAAATGAGTTGCTTCCCACCTTGAGAAAACTTGGCTGTCTTCCAGCGAGGCAACCAGAATCGTGCCTCTCAGGCGAGTCAAGGCGTTGGGTGGTAGCCGCAAGCTGGTGGGAAGCACCAGAGCTCTGCTGGTGCCATCTAGTGGTGATCCGGTTACTTGCCCGGTCGTCCAGAGTTCGATCTGAGTGTCCTCCACGACCAAAGGCACTGGTGCCGGGCTCTGCAGTGAAAACAGCGAGTGATAAAGAAAATGTCGCGGATGCCAAAACTCTCCAAACCCACGCGTTCTCGGTATATACGTCGTCGATTTAATAAAAGACCGCCGACCACCG